GAACTAAGCTAAACCAAGGCGGTGATGGAGACAAAGAAAGCCTTACTTCAAAACTCATCAGGACACCACCAAGTTCAACAAGGATTTCATTTAAAAAATAGTAATAATAAAAAATTAAAAAATGAAATGCAACAAGGACTCCATTTAAAAAAAAAAATAACACTAAATTATACTCAAACATTGTTTCATGCTTTGTGAATTTCACTGCAGTAAAAAAATAAAAATTCAGACAAATCAAAAACAATTTCTATAAAGTGAGTCAGTACCTTTCTTAAACCGGTAAAAGCAGCCCCACATTCAGGACAAAACAGAGGAAGACCCAGCACAATGGTCTCCACTCTTTAGCAACCTCAAGTGTATACTGTTCATGTTCACCTACACAGACAGCTCAGCGTGGCCGGCTCTGGGGCACCTTTGACAGGAAAGCCACAGGCTTCAGTGGACACAGACACGGCCACGTTCTGCATGGCATCGAGCGTGGGGACTCTGCTGGGACACACGCTCTGCTCCAGGGGATAGAGTCAGTATTATTTTGAAAGATCTCAAGAAAACCCTCAAGATATCTACATTTCCAAGTTTTAGCAAATTTAAATGGATATAATTTTCAGAATGAACCATGCTCTAAGTACAGAAAATTCAAAAGCCACTGTGGGGTCCTGGGCACCTCGAGCAGCACTCCAATTTCTGTTAAACACATTTATTTCAAAGGATATGAGTTAATACATAAACAATAAATCAGTCAGATCTTCAGCCCTTAGAGATTTGGGGAGAGGGTTATTGTCATGTGACCCGCAGGAAAGGACTGTATTCACCCGAGGCCCCAAGAGGATGCCCGCTTCTTCAGACACAAAACGCAGCCGAGACTCTAGGCTGGTGCTTTTTGCAGGTCTGGCCGTGCTGTATTTCATGCTCACGTTAGAGGGAGTTTGCACCATCACTCATTCAGTCAGCAAACGTGTCCAGAGCCCACACTGGCATGCACACAGCATTTGAGAAGACGCAGCACTGTGGCAGTCAAATGACGTCACGCTGCCCCAGGATCCTGGGGAGAAAGTGGTCTGGACAGGAGGGACCACTTCTTTGGTAGTTTCTTTAGCTTCTTCACAGCAAACCCAAACATAAATTACAGTGAAAAGGTTTTAGATGCTTTGAATAAAAAAATGCAAAAATGTAACAGATTAAAATCAATGAGTGTGTCTTCACAAAATTTTTGTTCCTAGTTGGTTTCCAATGACTACCAAATAATAAGGGCTAAAAGAATGCACGCAGACTCTGGTGCCTGCATGTGACCTGAACACGGCATTTGTCCCACGTTCTCATCAGCCCAGGTGGCCTCCTTCTCATCTGTGCATACCATTTACAGGTGAATCCTTCCAGAAAGGGCCCCAGGACCCCGTGGCTTTTACCTTCTGATCTGATGCACGAGGTCACGTGAAGCAACTGCCAACAGCCTGGTGCGCTCTGGCTCTCCCGGCAACAGGAATGTGTGCGGAATGCAGCAAGGCCACAGGGAGAACAGATCCTTGAGTCAGGGGTGACATGAGGAAGCCACTGCCAGGGAACAGACAGGCTGCCCAGCTTACACAGGAAGACATCTGTCCCACATCATTTTCCAGAGGAAAGTACACTGCCAGGCTTTGTCCATTTCTGCTTAAGTAAAATACTTAAAACATGTACACCCGGGCCGATCGGATGTGTGATGACACTGAGAATGTATTCAGGGTTAGGTGTGATGATGGTGGTCAGTGACACTCCAAAGCTCTGTCTTTTTGAGAGCATGGCGAGCCATTTGTAGATGAAAGGATACAACGTCTAGGATTATTACATCTAGGTTACCTTCAATAACCCAGGTGGAATGGGACGGGAGAAAGAGATGAGACACGAGCGGTAAACCGGGGCTGGGGGTGGGTGCGGGGACCGCACCACATGCTTCTCCACCTTTAGCTTTGAAATTTTCTATAATAAAGTTTTTTTACAAAAAGAAATGTACATGCCAAAATGTTTACAGATGAAATAAAATTATGCCTGGAATTTGTTTCAGAATAATTCAAAACAGCCTGTGGGAGAGGGTACAGAAGCAGATCGTCCAGGGAGCTGGCAGCCGGGGAAGCTCCATGGGGCTCATCGCACCAGCCTGCCTGCTCTCAGCTGCGCATGCAGCTTCCAAGACGCAGGGTCCTCACCAAAGACAAGCAGGAGGACGCCACAGCGGAAGGCATGACCACACTGAAAAATCCCCGCCCAGCAGAAGCAGGGTGCTCTGGGAGACGCTGCCGAGGACAGGGTGGCTGAGGTGGGAGGGCCCCGCCAGGCCCGCCCTGGGCTCCTCTACCACCGCCACCGCCATGCAGATGGCCCCGCCATTGTGCTTTTCTCCTCCTATGTCCCGCTCAATTCCAGTTTCACCCGCTGGATGATGAACCCGCTTCCAGTGGTTCCACAGAGCGAGCAAGCTGTGTAGAAGGCCATTTCATACACTGCAACGTTTCCATTCCAGAATTCACCCAGCAAAGTGCAATGATGACAGTAAAGTGGAGTCCAATATTCCGAGTTACAATCTACCAACATCAGAAAGCACCGATGACAGCCAGGCATGGCAGCTCACGCCTGTAAGCCCAGCACTTGGGGAGGCTGAGGAGGGCAGATCATTTGATGGCAGAAGTTTGAGACCTGCCTGACCAACATGGGGAAACCCCATCTCTACTAAAAACACAAAATTAGCCGGGCATGGTGGTGTGTGCCTGTAATCCCAGCTACTCAGGAGACTGAGGCACGAGAACAGATTGAACTCGGGAGGCAGACATTGCAGTGAGCCAAGATCACACCACTAAGGGATGACAGAGCAAGAAGGACTCAAAAAAAAAAGAGACAATGAGTGGTTCCACAGCCTCACCAGCACCCGCGCTCCAGACGCCCATGAAGTGGCCACCATCGAAACTACCCGCTGTCAGGAGTTTCAGATGAGGGTTAAAAAGAAATAAAGTGTCACTTAAGACATCTTGGTTTCGGCATACAAACGCCATAATCACAAGTAAATTACAATCAACGTTCTCTAGAAGACACTGCAAGTGAGACGCCAGGCCGCCTGCTCCTCCCCAACTCCCCCCACAGCCCCTGGGCACCACACATCAAGCATCGGGTGCTGCCAGGGCACCCTGAGGCCCTTTTTCCTCGGCTCACTCCCCAGCCCTGGCAGTCCCATCCCTCTCCATGAGCCACACCCACCCTAGAGAGCCCCTCCCACCCAAGGGTATGCACAAACAGCGCGGCATTTTAGCTGAAAGTTCTGTTCGTAGGTAAAGTAAAGCAGAACTGGAACAGCAGTTTCATTAAATGACTGTGACTGCAACAGGCCACAGAACACTTGGCACCTCTGGATGTCTGTACCTAATTAGGACTCGGAATTGCAGGTACTAGAGGTGTGGACAATGGCCAGTCAGCTCGCCGCTGCCCAAGAGATCAGAGATATCCGATGGCAGCGACACCCCGACACCCTGCCCTCTGGCCTGAGGCACAGCCCAAGACCGTCCTCAGCATCTCATGCTCCTTCTCAGGCTGTTCCTGACAGAGCTGCCCAGTGACGATGGCAGGCCAGATCAGGGCAGATCGCCATGGAAGAGGTCCTGTCAGCCATTTTTTGGCTTCTAACTTACTTGTTAAAATGATTCAGAAGTGCCCCAATCTGCAGTTTCAGTGACCCTCAGTCAACCTTGGTCTGAAAATATTAAATAGAAAACTCCAGAAGAAAACAACCTGTAAGTCCTAAACTGTGCACCACTCTGAGCAGTGTGATTAGATCTGGCACTGTCCCACCCAGAACGTGAGTCACACCTCCATCCCACGTATCTGCACAGTAGGCACTACCCACTCATTGCAGTTGAGAGGCAGAGAAAGAGACAGATACATTCAATTTCGTTACTGTATATTATGATAACTGTTCTATTTTATTACGTTATTGTTGTCTGATCTCTTACTGTACCTAATTTATGAACTATATCACAGGTACGTATATGCAGGAAAATACCTAGTACGTACTGTGTAGGGTTCAGTGCTACAGAGATTTCAGGCACCCACTGGGGTCTTGGAACACACGCCCCTGGATAAGGCAGAATACAGGATTGGCTTTTTCAAACAGAAAACTAAATCTTAAGAGTAGCAGGATTTGGGTTTTTCAAAGAATCTACATTAATGACGTAAATGATGTCCACATATTTTATTTCTTTCAACTGAACCTATAAAATCTTACTCTTAGTATTATATAGGTATATATAAAGTTCCCTATGAGAAACCATCTCTAACTTGTGCAAATTCAAGCTTTACCACGCTTAAGTAGAAATACATTAAAATGGCCTCATTTTTCAAAATAATTACCAATTCGATAATCAGGAATTAATGCTATTATGATACATGAAACTTACTGACGTATTAATTACTCCCAGCCAGCAGAATGTATATGATTTGTGAAATATATATTTGATCTTCATCCAGTTTCCTGGTATACAACTCCTGAAATCCTTGGAATTTCCAAAGTGCTATCTTTTGTGTGCTAATGAGATGACCGTGGTGGGTAGCCCCCAGGTGGCTTCAGAATAGGGCTGCTCACAGAAAGAATAAGGCAGGGGGAGAAGAGGGACTGAAGGTCACGTTTATCATCAATGGTCAATGTTTAATCAATCACGTCTACATAATGAAGTTTCCATAAAAACCCAAAAGGACTGGCTTCAGAGAGCTTCTGGACAGCCAAACCCACAGAAGTGCCCAAAGGGCGGTGCCCAGGAGGGCACAGGAGCTCCAACCCCTTCCCACATTCTTTGCCCTCTCCATTTCGTCTGTATCCATTGTAACATTCCTTACAACAGGCTGGTAAATGTCAGTGAAGTGATTTGTACTTAGTATTTATAACAATCACGCCTGTTTTTAATGGAAAGAGCATCTACATCTATCCTCAGCTCACAGAGCTCATCGCCAGAGGAACCTGAGCGCAAACGGGCTGCTCTTACATTGCCGTCCACTCCTGCAGGGCTGCTGAACACGTATTCCAGCTGGAAGACGACCGCAAACGCGGGGTGGCTGACCATCTCCGGGAGGCGGAGGCGGCTTCTCAAAACCAGAGCTTGGCTTCCAGAGCTGGGTCAGAAACACAAACCGGGGGCCCATTAGAACTCCAGCTCCCATCTTTCCCACGTCCACGTTGACACTGCCACCAAGGGCCAAGAGGACACCCTCGGGGACACATCCACCATGCAACACCTCGTGCTCTTCCAAGTGGTGTGGAAATTCCCCAAACCAATGCTCTTTTTTTTTTTTTTTAAGAGATGGGGCTCTCACTATGCTGCCATGGCTGGCTGGTCTCAAACTCCTGAGCTCAAGTAATCCTCCCTCCTCGGCCTCTCATTGCTCAAGTCTTTTCCAAATCACCAAAGCTTGCCTGCAGGCCTAATACAGCCAAGTTATCAGGAAATGCCACAGAAGATGGAGGCTCCTTCTTCAAGGCTGGCCCACAGCAGAGGACAGCTGGCCTCTGCCTGGCACCATGAGAGAGGAAAGGCATGTCGCCCTGCAGTGATGTCTGTGACACCTGATTTGGGAAGCACCAGATTAAACAGAGCAGCAGGTCTTGCTGCCCCCTTGTTCTCTGTCCTATGCGAAACTAATCATAGAGCATGTCTAGAAGGCAGCATGCAAGGTCTCCACAGACCCTCAGCAGCCACAGCTGGAAGCTTCCATAATGCTAACTCCAAAACTGTCAGAGCACAAATGGAAAACAAAGTGTGGGGAGGCTTTTTCCAAACTTCCAATTCCAAGGTTTGTTCCTAATGGGTACAACTTGGCAAGATGACAGAAAGAGAACAAGGAAGAACTCGCACGTGGGTGAGTCCACACTTGACATGCACAAACGACCTCATTTCATCCTGATCCCTTGTATGCCCCCACCCAGCCCTGGGGACTTGGGAGGCAATACCTGGTCTTGGAAGAGGAGACCACTTTCCTGCTGAAGCTGGCTGAGCGCGTCAAGGCCACGTCCATCTCAGGTACCAGCACAACCACCTGTGGCCTCTGCACGAAGCCCAGACCGTTGTGCACACCCACACGCAGGCGCCGCTCCAGGATCTCCAGGGCACCACCGTCCAGCAGGCCACATCCCTGGAAGAGGCACAGGCAGAAGGAATGAGCCCTGGCACAGACGGGAAGAGGGAGCTCGCCAGAACCCCTGGGAGAGGTGAGCAGAGAGAAGAAACCGGAACAGAAGTTGCAGGTAACTGCCCATCAGATGATGCTTAGTCAAGATGAGTCCAAGCAAATGACAGATACAGCACCCAATCCCTAGCCACTGGCCCTGGGGCATGGCCCAGGTAGTTTCTGGCATTTCCAACACAGCATGATCCTCTCAGTGCAATGCATACCCTCAGATGCCTTGGGATCCCCAAACCCCAACACTAGCTTTCCAAGTTTAAGATGACCATCTCAAAATGCAGCAAACTCATATTTGGCTCCTTCAAGACTCCTCCAAGGTCCCACAGCCCACTTCCCCGGAGCCCACTTTCCCGGAGCCCACTTCCCCGGAGCCCACTTCCCCGGAGCCCACTTCCCCGGAGCCCACTTCCCTGGCCCACTTCCCTGGGGCCCACTTTCCCGGAGCCCACTTTCCCGGAGCCCACTTTCCCAGAGCCCACTTCCCCAGAGCCCACTTCCCCGGATCCCACTTTCCCAGAGCCCACTTCCCCAGAACCCACTTCCCTGGACAATGCTGGAGAGATGCTCAGGGGCAGAGCTTATCACGTTTCCACTCTGTCTACCCAGAGACCTGAGACTTAGCATACAGGGGGAACTGTGCTTAGGCACTACATCATAAACCAATACAAACAGAATCTGCCCCACAGTGTCACTTGATATTAACGTATTTCATCTAAACAAAAAATGTACAGGCACCCTAACAAATGAACAAGGACATTCCCCTGGCTCTTAGTGTGTATTAAATTATGTGATCTTTGCAAAATAATCCCTGAATTTTCAAGTTTTCTTTACTGTCAATTAAACAAGCTGAACAGGCCTACATGCAGCCTATTAGTCTTCAGATAATGAAAATAAAACTATGCAGATAACTGAGTATCTGCCAGTTGGATTGGAACAAAAATACAAAGAGAGCAAAAATACGTAATAAAGTGACTTTTATGAGAATATATAAAATTGAACAATGATACTGCTAAATCATCTCTACCCTCACACAATCCACCCTGAACAAGAAAACAGCAGGAACTACACCAAGGAAATGGATGTCGCTACTGCAATCCTATTCTCTGCTTTGTGCTTATGTAAGCCCAAATTATGTGGAACTGCATTTTCAAGAATGGGTAGGAAGCAAACAAGTCCAGCTCATTGTCTCTCTCTCTCTCTCTCTCTCTCTCTCTCTCTCTCTCTCGCACGCAATGAATAACTTGCTAACTTCACAGACTACTAGGATGGGCATCTGAACCATTCATTCTCACAACTCAATATTACAGCCCTACTATGTGCCAACCCCCATGTATGCCCGTCACGTGTCATGGTAAACAAAACAAGGTCCCTCTCCTGGCGATGCAAACGCTCCCCACAGGAGACAGACAGTAGCAGAGAAGGTGGCCAGCTGTTCCCAGGAACGGCTGAGCGCCCAGGAGGAATGCAGGGTGACAGCTGGAGACACGGTGGCAAGGGCAGGAACAGGGCCCCTGCAGGACAGTCAGGGGACCCCGTCCAGACCCGAAGCCTGAGGGGAAGCACACAGAGATTTGCAGGAAGAAAGTTCAGGAAAGTCAGCTACGTGTTCCAGGACCCACGCAAGGACAAGCATGAGTCCGAGGCCGCGGGCGGAGGCATGCCGGAGCCCAGGACTGCAAACAGGCCCAGGAAGCAGCACACAGTGAGGCGGAGAAAGCAGCAAAGACCCAGCCGCACACATCTTGGAGGGCCAGGAGCCTAGGGCTCAGTCCAAGGGCAATCGGAAGTCAGCAGCATGTTTTAAACACAGAAGAAAAATGGCTGAATTTATGTTTTTACACTTGATCTTAGCCAAAAGGCCAAGAAGAGATGAATTTATGTTTTTAAAAGACCTCTTTGACAACTGAATGAAAAATATGTTCTCTGCAACAAGTGAACATGACAGGGACACTTCCTCAGAGAATTTCCTTCCCCCAAAACCTAAGGAGCAGAAAACGCCACCAATCAAGGATGGTGGCTAACTGAACACAATGGCCTTCAGGACCTGAGCCAAGACAGGTCCCAATCCTTGAAGCTCAAAGTGGGGAGTGCAGGCGCCATGCCCAACTCTGCCTCCACCCCAGGAGCTACGGCCGAGGTGGTAAAACCCTGGGAATTCCACCAAACCCTCACGGCAGTTGACTCATTCACAGCTCCGGGAAAGGGCTCTTTAAAGCCACTCCCTTTGCCCTGTAACCTGGAGCCCCCACCTCTCCGACTCTGGACTCGGCCAGTGACCTGCTTTGGCCAATGGGAGAGTAACAAATTTAATCCAAACAGAGGCTTGAAAATGTCTGCACACTTCCAACTTCTCTCTTAAACACCTGTCTGCACGAGAGCAAGCCCAGACTGACTGCCACAGGAGGAGAGGCCACAGGGAGCCACGCCAACCAAGGTCATCCTAGACCGGCAGTCCCCAGCGGACCAGCTAGCTCATCACAGGCCCATGAGGGTTTTCCAAGAAAGTCCCTTTTACCTCCTGCGCAAGATTCTACTAAGAGTCAGGATACACATGCAAGAATGCTCAGCCACAACCTGCAAACAGCCCAAAAGTCCATCAACAGTAGAATGGATCCATGAATCCTAGTGTCCTCACACAGACGACCATGCAGCAAAGAAAGTGAGCAAATGGAGCCACACCCACTACAGACTCACGGGAGCACAGTCTTGAGCGAATGAAGCAAAAACAAAACAGAAGAAAAAAGTATGACTTCATTTAAAGACAGGTCAAAAGCAGGCAAGCCTATATTGTTTAGAGATGCATCTGCAGGCGGTAAAACCAGAACAAAAAGCCAAGACGTGATTAGCACAAAAGTCCGGGGGAATGGGCAGGGTGGAAGGTGCAGCCAAGACGAGATCCACAGGGCTCTGTGGGTGCCGGGCACAGGGCCTCCCTCTGCCCACGGG